TCTTTTCTACGCATTCACAATTTGCTTTGATGCGACGTCATCGACAACATCTTGACAACACCTAATGTTGTAAGACGCCATACGAGTTTTATTTCACATGTGAAATTATCGGTTTTCATTCCAGTGGGAAATCACGGTAATTCATTGCAACCGATGTTATAAATAATATTTATTATTTAAATTATCTTCCTTTATTTATCATATTCTTCAACAGCACAATAGCATACACTGAAATCATTTGATATGCACAATTCCTGAACCATTATTTTCCCTAGTCTACACATTACATGAAGTAAATTTGACGTCAATAATTTTCTACCCAATTAACACCTATCGACCTTTGTCTAAATAACGGCTGCAAAAGAGGTCTGGAAATAGTACTTATATGTAGAATTGAGAATGTAAACGGGGAATGTGTCAAAGAGGCTACAACCCGACCAAAGAGCAGAAAACAGCTCCAGGCCACCAATGAGTCTTCAGCGTAGAGAGAAAACCCCGCACCAGGAGGCGGACTTCAGCTTGCTCCTAAACAATAATTTATTAGTTCAGCGAAATGAACGCATCACTAAACTCCAAACAATAAATGAACACTAAAATTAAAATAAAACACACAAGACTAATAAAGGCTAGAGGTTGCTGACTTGGGACAGGCGCATGCATGTGGTTATGGCAATGGGAACATATCCGTCGTCATCTGTGAAAAAGATATTCCATAACAGTCAACTAACTCGTAATGGCGTTCATAAACATTTCGTAGGGATGATTTCAACTTCACTACTTGGAACTCTGGCTTTAATAGTTTCCTTGTAAACAGCAATCCTCTATAAAGGAAATCATGTTAGAAAATGCAAGCTCTGGAATATCAACTGTATAAATACACTCCATATGCTGGCGCTGCTTGAATGTTGCTACATAGAAATGGAAAGTTCACAATTGGAAAGCTAAAATCACATCTTTTGTCGTAAAGTTTTGTTTTCAACCAATCTTATTGTCAATTTCTAGATGTAAGTCAAGATATGATATAATTTCTGTATTGGATGTTTTATTTGATTATAGATTGATGTAAATGATGTTTTTATATTGCCTCTCGTTATTATTTTAATAACAGCATATACATATGGTTTAATTTTTATATCTTGTTTTAAATGTTTTTTTTTTTATGTGGTGTGACTCTTTGCTGAACTAGTATACATTATTGTTATGGGACCAGCTGAAGCCCGCCTCCGGGTGCGATATGTTCTCGCTGCGATTAAGACCAATTGGTGGCCGTGGGCAGTTTTCTGCTCTTTGGTCGGGTTTGTTTTTCTCTTTGACACATTCCCCGTTTCCGTTCTCTACCATATTGAATCTGAATCTATATTAATTTTATGAATGTTTTTGTAGAATGTATGTTGCCCTCTAGAGCTGTTTTCCATTTGTGCTGCTGTCTCTTTGACTTATTTCCTATCTCCTTTTAATCGAACTATGTGTTTTATCCATGATACCTGTTACAAGAAAACTTTCGCAATTTCTGAAATTTAGGTTAGGCGAGATATAAATTGTTGGACTAGTGTATGATGCATTTACTTTTGCAAGCTATTGGCCAAAGCAAACGACCCTTACATCCCGTATAAATTCAGCACTAGGTTGCATGATTCTAATTTACTATAGGTTACTATATTATGTGGTTTTGATCAATGTTGAAAGCCGTACATCGCTCTATTTTTGTTTACATCCCGTCCTTTGTTCTCTGGGGGATAGTGGACCAATGACAATTATAACATATCACCTTATTTTAAAATACAAAAAAAAAAATATATTCAATCAAAAGGATTTTTTATTTTATTCACGGTATATGTTTATTCGTGTAATTTTGATTCAAAGTTTACCAATAATACCAAATAAAAAAACTGAAATAAGCTTAAGCAGGGGATTTAAAGTACTGTTTAGGATTCATCTATAATATATTCATTTTACTCGGATCTTCAATCGAACTAGAACTAGATCCTGACGAACATTGTACATGTAACGGTGATATCGTCCGTTGTCCAATTCACTTTGCTGTGATGTCAACATATTCATTAACCATGATTAATTTACTAGTATCAAAGCATCTTAAATCGGTCACTGGAATAGTTTTTTTCACTTTCTACGCTTAATTTTAATATATTGCAATTGCCTAATTGACTGATATCTATTCACAAATGAAGTTAACCTTTGATCTCCGAATTTTTTATCTTCTGCCACTTGGAGTCGAACCTACACTTTAAAGTCGACTTTACCTTAAAAAAATGGCGCTGTTTTACAAACTTTCTGTTTTGCAAATCGCGAAAAGACGTCTCGGGAATAGTTTTAGAAGTGTAGTTCATAAAACAAAAGTTTATATTACCCTTGTCTTTTTTGCAAACTAAGGGTTTTCCATTATGCATCCCAATACAAACTTTAATATCAACACATGCATTTTCGAAACAACTATCATCTGACTATGTGACACTACTACCTTGATCTCGCATGACTAACTTCTTTTAGCCATGGGAAGTTTTCTTCGGAGTCATTGTATTTGTTAAATAACTAACTAAAGCTGGATTTTAAAAGTTTTTACAACCAAATTGTTCGTTCTAGCACTTTACCTGACTGTGTAAATGATCCAGTTTGGCGCTTTCATGATGTGATTGATTGGTTGGTTCATTGCATTAAAAGTGTCATGTCAGCTCACTGTGAGATATGTATTCGCGATAATAAACTTTTAAATTCATTTTACAATTTAAAATATGATAAACTAAATTCCGGTTAGAAGATTTTTATGAGAGTCGTCATTCGTCTATTTGCACAAATACGTATCGTGTAAAAACGACTATCTTAGCTCTCTTAAACTATTTCTCTCAATTTGATTTTGATCTTGTTTAGTTTTTTTTATATTTCTAATAAAGTCTCGGTACCAACTGTTTACACCAACTTTGACAGGTAAAATGAAGGGAATCGTCTCAAAATAAAACAAAAAGTACTAAACAACTAGCATTTCAAAGTGAAAAATACAAATAACTGTTTAACTAGATTTTACACAACGATTTATTCAATTTTGAAAATAAACATTGTCGTCGGTTCACAAGTCCTGCACAGGTCTCCACCATTTGTCTAGCTTTTTGTCTTGCTTGCTTCCATAAATATTTTCTATTGATTTGCTGACAGGTGAATGGCGTGATTATGGGATGCCGATTTGGATAAATCTTATCTCCTAGCAGCACTCATTCTTCCGGAAATTTTAGCGGTGCATTGGGTCCAGTCTGTCTCATGATTCTGTACTGCTGTGCGTCATTTTAATGGTCTAAAAGTTCTCTTGAACGTAACAAATGTTTCCCTCATTGTCAACTATAACTTGCGTATGTATGGCGTGGTATCAAAGCAGCATACAGTTCTTGTCGCTCAATTTTTTACCTATATATTTCCACAGAAGTGCCGTGTATTGAACTGACGTGTGTAGAGAGTTAGGCCAAATACCCCATTTTCCTCTTCATTTGTTCATAGCAGGTCACTGCACGAACGACTTCAAAGGTCTTTGAAATATTTGAATACATGTATTAATTTCCGTTTGAATTGTGGCAACACTAACGTTGAAAATCGACGAGAGACATGGTATGATCAAAGCCACATTATTTACAAAATAATCCAATTCTTTCGGAAATGTTGTGGAATCTCCCATTATCTTGTGAAAGCATTCGTTCAGGGGTTTCGCTGGTTGCAAAATAAAAAGAATGTCTGTGTTTATTATATATTTTTTGCTATCATTATTTTTGTAAATGAATATTAGAAAATAGAGATATTTTAAATTTGTAAAACTTTTTGATGGACAGATTGAGATTAAAGAATGTTTTTATACCAAAAATAAGATATCACATACATTTTCCGACTTAAAAACGTATATGAACCAAACTTGGTATATAGAAAAGTTCTTTCGATGGTCCACTACAACAACTATGCCTGACAGCCCTATCTAATTTTCAAAATGGCCTCTTAGCGGTCGACTTCTACAAAATGTAGGTTTGAAGTTAGATGTTAGAAACGTTCCTAGGATTATTCTCCAGCGAAACTGCGACTGATTATTCCGACAAATTTTAAAACGTGGCCATCATGGCCTGTAATTGATTGACAGATTTTCTTCAAACACTTATTTACCATTCGAACCAATATTGATAGAAATTTCTCTGTGTTGCCATTTTCTCAAATTGTGTCCAATGGCCATGAAGTTTGTCCAAATGGCCGCCACAGCCTCTAACTGTTTGGCACAAATTTTCAATTAATTTTTGTCGGCACTTCTTATCTGTTTCCGCTTCTCCCACTCCCCCTGGTTAACTAAACTTCCCTCTATTTTCGTATCTGTGAAACAAGAAAATATGTCCATCAGAAAACGGGTTTTTTTTAAATCTTTGTAACGATTACGGTAATATGTTTGTATGTTACACCGTATACATTGGTTGTAGAAAATGTATGAACACCATTTCTTTCGGTATCATTCATATAACTACACCTATTATGCTAAGTTATATTTGGTTGAAAGCCACTGTATTTTTATGGAATTTATTTTATCTAAGGAATATTGCACCACCGCTGGGGTATATGCATAAGGATAGGATATTTTTTTTCATCTCTGGCTTGGTATTTGCCAAAAACGAATATGCCTGTTTTACCCTCCACGTAAACGCTTGTCAAGTTGATCATTAGTGCGTTTTATAAAATGCAGCTGTTTTTGCTTACGCCTTTTAATGAAATTAAATCGAAAGTTCAACTTAATACATTCTATTGATATTTGGTGTAACTAAACAGATATGTCATGTGCATGAGGGATGTTTTGGAAAAATATCAGTCTTGAGAAGGAAGATCCTTTGCCTAACGGATTTTGCTTAACGGATCTGGAAATATTACCTTTTAAACAATCAAAATTCAGGATACTAATAGAAGATGTAATCACTCTTCAAAAACCTGCACCATTTATTGATAAATGATTAAAATTTTATGTACTTCAGTTATGTTGCTGTTTTCTGTCATCACCATGGGGATTTACGGCTTTATTGACGGTTTAACTGTTACAGAACTGTCAAAATTTACAACATCTGGAAACTTTCCTGAATCTACTGTAAGAGTCGATACAACTCAATCAAATAGGTAAATTTCATATATTATAGTAATGCTGCTTCATGAATCCTGATACAAAACAACAGGATACGATTATTTAGTGCATTTATCTATTGTGAATATAAGAAATGCGAAAACGCTGATAAAGCATGTTAAATCTTTCATTGGGAGGAGTTTAGATGTGCTGTACTATGTTCATATGGTGAAGGGGTGCCATTTTTGTTACATCTTGTGATCAGTTTATTTGGCAATCGCCAATGGCAGTCAGCAGGGTTTAAGAATATCAGTTGTTCGACCTGCTAGTCAAATGCGTTTTGTTAAAATATACTCATTTGGTCTTTTGGAAAATGTTGTTTGTGCTGTATTTAGACCCCTCTACCAAGAAATTTGTTTTGCATGCACACGTATAAAAATTGCGTTTTTTATCCAACGCAATCTTAGGTTTGAACGTTGTTTTCAATTTAGACTTGTTTATATTTTTTCGTTTGGGCTTGTATTATATATGCCTTCGGGTTTATATGATCCGTTCATCCTATTTTGACTCTTTCAAAATTCAAGAGTCTATCCTAAATTGAGGTAAATTATATGGCCTTCCAAATACCGTTTCGATTCCTAACATCACTGAAGAGACATTAATTGTCGAAATCCGGATATGGTGTACAAATTTTTGCACCTCATGTTTGCGGTATACCATCTTTTCCGCAAGTATTTTGTTTTCTGTTTGGTAATAATTTTTATAATAAGATCTATTTTGTTACATCTTGTGATCCGTTTATTTGGCAATCGCCAATGGCAGTCAGCAGGGTTTAAGCACATCAGTTGTTCGACCTGCTAGTCAAATGCGTTCTGTTAAAATATACTTTTTCACTCATTTGGTCTTTTGGAAAATGTTGTTTGTGCTGTATTTAGACCCCTCTACCAACAAATTTGTTTTGCATGCACACGTATAAAAATTGCGGTTTTTATCCAACGCAATCTTAGGTTTGAACGTTGTTTTCAATTTAGACTTGTTTATATTTTTTCGTTTGGGCTTGTATTATATATGCCTTCGGGTTTATATGATCCGTTCATCCTATTTTGACTCTTTCAAAATTCAAGAGTCTATCCTAAATTGAGGTAAATTATATGGCCTTCCAAATACCGTTTAGATTCCTAACATCACTGAAGAGACATTAATTGTCGAAATCCGGATATGGTGTACAAATTTTTGCACCTCATGTTTGCGGTATACCATCTTTTCCGCAAGTTTTTTGTTTTCTGTTTGGTAATAATTTAATAATAAGATCTATTTTGTTACATCTTGTGATCCGTTTATTTGGCAATCGCCAATGGCAGTCAGCAGGGTTTAAGAACATCAGTTGTTCGACCTGCTAGTCAAATGCGTTTTGTTAAAATATACTTTTTCACTCATTTGGTCTTTTGGAAAACGTTGTTTGTGCTGTATTTAGACCCCTCTACCAAGAAATTTGTTTTGCATGCACACGTATAAAAATTGCGGTTTTTATCCAACGCAATCATAGGTTTGAACGTTGTTTTCAATTTAGACTTGTATATATATATATATATATATATATATAAGCTGCTTCAAATTAGGATTGTTGTAGTAATACAAGAAAAGCATTAAATAAAAGAAAATAATTAAGAAATGATAAAGAAATCCTATTGAAAATATTTGTAACACAAAAAAGGAGGTCCAAGTCAAAAGCGCCTGTGTATCTGCTCACAAAATGTCTATTTATTGAATATAAGGTTGTAATTGTCTGTCTTTGACTGTAGCGATACGTGACTTATTAAATTTATGTATAATCAATTCTTGTAATATTTTAGACATCTTATTTATGCGTCGGGAATACCAGATCATCCATGGGAAAAGGTTAATCCAAATGATGCAACTGATCAAAACTATAATATCAGTATTCCAAAAATACCACGCTACAATAATGGAGCGCATGGTTGTGTTCCAATGGGTATGATTGGTATTACCAGGACAGGCGTAGCCATATTCAATCCGTTAAATGTTGACTTAGAAAATGCAGTTGAAGGGCAAACACAAGAGACTTTTGACAGTTGCGATGGCCATCCAACAAACACAGGATCATATCATTATCACAAGATTCCAGATAGCTGCCTGTATAAAGGAGAGATTGACGAGTTCATTGGTGTCGCTTTAGATGGATTTCCAATTTATGGTCCAAACGCATCAGATGTTAATAGTCTGTTGACGTCAACTGACCTTGACGAATGTCATGGCAGAGAAGTTAATGGCGCTTATCGATATCATGCGACTGAGACATGGCCGTACTTTCTTGGATGTTTTAAGGGTGTGATATTAGAAAATCTGCCTGGTTTGCAGTACAATTGTGAACCAGCCAATAAAACATCTGCAGGTATATTTTGATTATGTGCAAGTAAAACATGTGCAAATATTGTAAGGGGACAACTTTAAAGCTAAAAAAATATATGACTTTGCACGTGACAGGTAAGTGTATATTCTGCAAGGTAAAATGTAGAAAAGTTGAGTATACAAATTTGTACCAAAATTTTCGCTTGAATAAAGGCAGATGAAAATAAATATCAATCCGTAGAAATCCTTTTGTACGAGCATTATTTTTGTGTCGTTATCAGGCAAAATAAGGAGATGTGGTTTGATTGCCAATGAGATAACTATCCTCCAAAGTTAAAATGAAGTGAATGTAAGCAATTATAGGTAACCGTACGGCCTTCAACAATGAGAAAAACCCATACCATATGGTCGGCTGTAAAAGGCCCCGACATGAATAATATGAAACAATTCAATCGAGAAAACTAACGGCCTAATTTATAACAAAACAATTTACGAAAAAAAATATGACAAACATGGACCAACGACAACCACTGAACTACATGCTCCTGACTTGGGACAGACACATAAAAAATATGGCGGGATTAAACATGTTTGTTAACGCTCAACCCTCCCTTAACCAGGGACAGTGGTGTAACAGTCCAACATAAGAACAAACTATAAAAATTAGCTGAAAAAGCTTAACTCGTCAGATGGATACAAAGAGAAATCATTTGCTGATGTGTACCCTTGTCAAGTGTTAAAGTGGCAAACAAAGTATACAAATTTGTACCAAATGTAAGTAGTTTGACATGCCAAATATTGGGAAAAGGCGTGCAAAATAGTATGACAAATATAGCTCATTTGGCATGTTCATAAAGGACGAAAGTTTATTAAACCATCGATCAAGCGAGAAAGGACACTTCACAACTACTGCACTAAAAAATTACAGAAATGAGAAATCTATATTAAAATGTCCATAATGTTATATTTTTGATTTTCGAAGATTTCAAAAGTTGGTCCCTAAACCGATAGACCAAAAGTAGGTATTTATGTTGTTGCATATAATTCACTAAGTCGTTATGAAGTTCTATTTATTTGACAGACAAAAAACTGTATGCTCAAATTCGTTATGAATAAGGTATATTGTGAGAAATGTCCATGAAACAGCAACCCATCAAGACAAAAACTATTTAAATATATGTTCCCTTCAACAACGTTGATTTCATACCCTTATCAATGTTAAGCGATAATACTTTTCACGTTTGAGACCTCTTAGAAAAGGTATTTATACCATTCGTGGGATTTGAATATTGTTCTGAATCATATATAACTGTTTCAGGTTGGGAAGACTGGAAAGAATGGAACGGATATCTTTGTAATTGTCTACAGCAGGGAGGACAGGGTGGTGGAAATATGCCAGATCCATCTCAATGTGGACAGAATAATCCAAACCGACCAGCTAACTGCCCTAATGTTCAAGAATGCATGAACAATAACAATCCTCCTATGTTTTGTTACGACATATGCCAACAACAGGGGAATCGTCCTCAATTTTGCCAGACCTTGCCTGTTAATGATGACAGTGAGGCATGCTCAGTAGCTGCTATCAAGATTTATACTGTTCTTTTGACATTTATAGCAATGATTTTTATCTAATGTAAACATTTGGTTCAGTACAATATGCAGTGCTTAAATGGATTTCAATGCAAGAATTAAATCTTATTTTTTTTAAACATTATATGCTGAAGCAAATGAAGATGAACGCTTTACCAATTCTGCAGGCGATAGGCACAGTATTGTTTAAAGTTTCGATAGCCATGCGTATATTTAAAAGACAACTTTAACCTGCCAATTAATATTTTTTTCAGATGTGGAAAGAAAATAACAGAATTATTGTCAATTATCAAATTATGAAATTTTCTGACTAAGAAAAAAACCCTAATCCCCCCCTTTGAAGTTAAATGGTTGCTCCCTTAGTGATTAAATCATTTGTATTTTAATAATTTGTCATTATACTCATATTCCAACATAGCTAAATATATTGAAACATGCACTAAACTTTCACATTATATACCAACATATGAAGTATCCTTCATAAAAAAAAACTAAAATGTACGGAAACGTCGCATGCAACGTCCACAAAAAGTCAACTTTTAAAAATAAGAATATGTCTGAGACATCCATTTCTCACAAAATGAACAGTAATCATGGACGTATGTCAAATTGTTCTAAAATGTAGAGAAATAAAACTAATCATCAGTTATTCCCTTTTTCCAGATGTGAAGATAAGCATGGATGAAATTAATATTCTTTATTACAGAATTTCGGGTCATTTGGAGGTCGGTTCAAAATCATTTTTCTATGATCCGATATGAATTCACAATTAAATTTGTGGAAATGCATAGTCATTAAGTATACATCTACAAAATAAACACAAACTTGAAACTTTTGTCTGGACTTTACATAAACTTATGTGAAAAAAAACCTGTCAAAATGGAGATTTACTTTTAGTCGAGTAGCAAGTATCAAGTTATAAAAGGTGAGTATCAAGTAGCTTAAAGTGAGTATCGAGTTGTAAAAAGTAAGTATCGAGTAGCAAAAAGTGAGTATCGAGTTATAAAAAGTGAGTATCGAGTAGCAAAAAGTGAGTATCGAGTTATAAAAAGTGAGTATCGAGTAGCAAAAAGTGAGTATCGAGTAGCAAAAGTGAGTATCGAGTTATAAAAAGTGAGTATCGAGTAATAAAAAGTGAGTATCGAGTAGCAAAAAGTGAGTATCGAGTTATAAAAAGTGAGTATCGAGTTATAAAAAGTGAGTATCGAGTAGCAAAAAGTGAGTATCAAGTAGCTTAAAGTGAGTATCGAGTTTTAAAAAGTAAGTATCGAGTAGCAAAAAGTGAGTATCGAGTTATAAAAAGTGAGTATCGAGTAGCAAAAAGTGAGTATCGAGTTATAAAAAGTGAGTATCGAGTAGCAAAAAGTGAGTATCGAGTAGCAAAAGTGAGTATCGAGTTATAAAAAGTGAGTATCGAGTAATAAAAAGTGAGTATCGAGTAGCAAAAAGTGAGTATCGAGTTATAAAAAGTGAGTATCGAGTAGCAAAAAGTGAGTATCGAGTAACAAAAGCTATCATTAATATGTTTGTAAAGATAATTATTTTAACGAATGATCATCTCATGGATTGTTTCCCTTTTTATTACTCGGCTTTCAATTAACTTCTTGAAATATTTCAATAAAAGCTGATACATTTCTATTTTATATGAATGCATTGCAAAGGATAGTCATTTTACTTCCATTTATTTAATTAATATTTAGGCGAGACACTGGGTTCCGCGGAACCCTTACGAATTTTTGTTTCTTAAAAAAGATTTAAGTTGGTCTGTGTTATTGCTTGAAATACACTATGGACACTATGGGCGATGGTCATCACTAGCGCATAGGGCACTAGCTACTAGCGTCTCTGTGTGTGCTCTAAAGAGACAAATATATCCAAGTAAGGTTGATGATCAGTTTCATGTTTTATGTCCCGACAACATTGTTGCGGTAAATATAGTTTTTAGGTCTGTTCGTCCATCCGTTCGTTCGTCAGTTACACTTTGGTTTACCTTTGCGTTTACGATGATTTCCTAAAAAGTTTCAAATCGAATCTTCATGAAATTTTGTATCGTACTCTTTATTTATCATGATATGGACTAACAACTGTGTAAAAATGGGGGAATTCCATCGAAAATGGAAATAAGCGCCGAGCGGGACACCCCTGTCTTCAAAACATTTCCTTGTTGCCATCAGTCTACAGATCGTGTTCAAAGTATCTCAGTAGGTAAATCCAGCTCTACATCCCCGATGATTTTATAAGAGTCCTGGGGACTTGCTCAATATGAATATTGTGTTGGATTAGTGAAATACTGAATGTTTGGTTGAAACTACTGTTCTGAATAATCGAAAAATTCATATCCTGTTTTGGTCACAATATGGAAAAGAACGGATATGGGTTAATGGCACGAAGACAGCACATATTGATCATTAAATGCCACACAAAAATAAATCTAGAGCTGACGACACGAACTTCAATAGAGCAGGAACCTCCCACTTACAGTCAGCCATCTCTGGATGGCCTCAAACAGTACAAGAACAACCGAACCCAAGGGCACAGCAAAATGTCCAAATATCTAATTTAAAACTAAAAGGTTTAATCAGGAACATATATGTCCCTGGTTTAATAACACTAGAATCGACACAACACTGACTTAAATGGATCTTTTAATATAAAAACGACTTCCGACCTCTATGTTGGAAAAAACGACCTGCGACCTGTACATTTCCCTTAAAAACGACCTCGCGACCTTGCTACGAATTTAAAAGCGACCTTGCGACCTGAGGGGGTACCCTGTGGGAGCCCCAGTTAAAAACCTTTTTCTACAGAGTTTTACTTGGTTGTTCTTATGTTGTGCGGTAACGCCACTGTCCTAGATTAGAGGGAGGGTTACGGATCCAGCACATACGTTTAATCTCCCTACATATATACTTAACTTACCAGTCCCAAGTAAGGAGCCTGTAATGTTAGTGGTCGCTTGTTACTGTAATTCATATTTGTTTTAACGTTGATTGTTTCGTATTTAAATCTGGGCGTTGTTTAATCTCATCTGATTTGTTTTACACGTGTAGTTTTTTGGGGGCCTTTAAAGCTTACTTTGCGGCATATGCCAATGCTTTATGTTGAAGGCTGCACTGTGACTTATAATTGCTTACATCGACGAGATTTTGTCATGGATGGAGAGATGTCTCATTGGCAATCACACCACATCTTGTTATTTTTATATTTAACGGACAATTATCAAATTGATTAAAATTGAAATGAATAATTAATAATAATTAAAAGAATAACACTAAATTATGTTGAAGCTGTCTTAGGTAAAGATGACCGGAAAGTGTCGCAGATCCAATATTAACGAAAATTTATAAACAAACTAATATAGATATAGTATATGTTTCCCCAATTATTGCTAAACGTTTTGATGAATATTCCCATAATTAGATAATTTGTAAATTGATTTATAAAAATAAAAAGTGTAATTATGAAGAATCTTTCAATTAAACACCAATATAGAAATGAAAATTAAAATAAAAGTCGCAGTCCTCCCCAGAGTAATGTTGTTTCCAATGCAACACTAGCATGTCAGAAAGAATACTAATTCATCTCCAAACCAAAAGCGTTACGGTATGGTTATAAAAAAGTATTTATAGTATCATACCTTTTATAGCCAATCATGCAGAGGGTTTGGGTTTTTCAAATTGTTGAAGGTCTACGGTTTCCTACAATTGCTTACATCCATTTCATTTGGATAGTTGTCTCATTGGCAATCATACCACATCTCCTTATTTTTATAAGGATTCAATTTGGTTTATTGTTTTACAAAATGTATTTAAAAATAGATAGAACTATGTTAGTTGTCGTTGATCTGGGACAAGGTTATTTTGTACATGTATGTCAATAGTCAGTGAACTACTTGTACTGAGATATTCAAAAGGTCAAGTTTGTTTATTAACTCTATAATTAAAAACTAACTAACTAACTAACTAACTAACTAACTAACAAACTAACTAATTTCATTCAGTATAAAATCCAGTACAAAAGGATCATCGCTGAAATACACGAAAACATATAAAAAATAAAACAAAAATGAGACAGAAATTTTGTGACTATTACAAACAATAGACAAAACACCCACATCACTATTATGCAATTATTCCCACTGATGAATTTCTAATCATGATACATTTGTCTATATATAAAAGTAATCTGTTGAGAACAGTTCATTAAATATCTAAATTTATCAATATTATCTAAATTACAAAAACATGGTACAATACTAACAATTTCATCATAAAACTTATTCCTATCGTCTTGATAGAGGTTGCATTCACATATGAAATGAAATTCATCTTCAATTTTGTTATCAATACCATGTTTACATATTCTTTGATCCAAAGGTGTATTATTATATCTGCCTTTTTCGATGTGTAAATTATGGTTAGAAATTCTTAATTTACAGAACTGTCTAATATATTGTTGCGAGATATTCAATTTTGTATAAGTCTTAGGTTTATATTCCTTTATTAGCTTGTAATATGTACGTAATTTGTTTTGGTCTTCACCTGATAAACGTGAGAAAAAATAATTTTCATATCTTTCTTGTAATCTTTTTTTCACTGCGGATATGAGTTTTTTTTTCTGACAGTGTTCCTTTATTATTCCAGACATGGTTAAAACCAATAATTTTTTGAAACTGAAAAATTGTGTTGTTAAAGTTACATGGAAAGTTACAATCAACATCTTCGATTGACTCATATGCTAATTTTGAAAAATTCAAAAGAGGATCTTTATACAAATATAGCCAGTATTTAAGAGACTGCAAAATAACAAATATAGAAATTGGGTAACGACCAAGTTCTGCCATACTGGCTATATTAAAAGCATATTTAGTGGCACCAAGTACAATAATATAATAAAGTGATTTTTAAAATACACATTTAATGATGCATGTTACATTTGATAAACAAGGCAATAAAACATAAAGCTTGATGGGTAAAATCAGCCGAAGCATTATAAGCAGAAATGCCGAATTTTACCAAATCTCTCTCAAAAGGATATTAAAAATGATTCTTTTTTTATTGTCATACAAGTAAAATGATACTTGTGACATACAACAAAAAATAACTGATTTGAACACACACATGTATATATATATATATACAAGCAAAAATAACTAAAAGTCACCTGTCCTCAGCTCTAAAGACTGTTTTATAAAGGAACTTTTTTTTTTCACTTGGTTTATATTTGAAGGATAAAGCAGGACTACTAGTTTTTCAGTATCAGAAAGATTTGTAAATATAAATTATCTATTGCGATGTCATTAAAAAGTTTTAAAAATGTTGAAGAAATATCCTATCGCACTTAAACGACTTCAAAGTACTCCAGAATTTTTGCAGCTGGTTATCAAAGAAACGATGAAAGAGGCATCCCTCCAGTCGATTAAAACACATGAAATACTTTTTTAATAGGTCTATACTATGGCAAGCCGTTTTACTAGTTATTCTAACTTCAAGATATCTCAAAAACGTTATAAGATATCTTATATAGTTTATGAGATATCTTATATAGTTTATGAGATATCTTATATAGTTTATAAGATATCTCATATAATTTTCTTTATAAGATATCTTATAAATTATATGAGAGATCTTATAAACTATATAAGATATATTATAAACAATATAAGATATCTTATAAACTATATGAGATATCTTATAAAGTATATAAGATATCTTATATAAAAAATATTTATTAGATATCTTATAAACTTTAGGAGATATCTTATAAAGTATATCAGATATCTTTTATATTAAATGAGATATCTTATATATTATACATGATATATTATATATTATATGAGATATCTTGAAATTCGAATAAATAGTAAAACCGCTTGCCATACTATACATGTATATAGAAGAGTAATATGTGTTCTTAAATGAGATATTTTCTACATTCAATAGAAATTTTTCGTAATTCTGTCAGAAATGGTATGTGTAATAATTAATATATCCTAACGACATTTTCATTTTGATGTGAATATAATTTATTTATAAAGTTAACCAGTCTAGTTTGTGCCGTCCTGATACGACATTCAAGCTTATTGGTAATTGTTGCTTTAAAAGGGGGGGGGGGACTTAAACAAACGTGGCAAAACAACATGACCCATGTTTTCACTTATCTATTAAGTTAAGTGTTGATTGATCCTGAAACTAACGGCTTTAAGAGCCTGTGTGGCTCACCTGGGTTTACTATAGTTTTGTAAAAGCACGAAACAGTGGTCAATATGATTATTACATGGAAAGTAAATCTCTATGAAGTCAAACTGACATTTATAGATAATGCCTTGCCGATAATTTTTTTTTACAAAGTTTCCCTCCATCTTTTATGTTTTTAAGATAATAAGCAGCAAAAGCTGTCAGAATGACAGTAAACAGTTTTTTTTTACTTGGCATGCAATTTATCATGAAAAGTTTTGGTTAAACGGTTTGTAAGTTATCACACGGGAATGGCTGGAGCCACAATTTTTCATGGACAATAATTCCTTACACGTGAAAGTGAAAATCTTTATATTTTACTTGACTTCCATTTTGTCAGCAGTAACAACATATTAAAATTTGATAAATCTTGGTTAAACGGTTCATACGTTAAGGGTGGACGAACCATTTAAAAAAAACATACACTCAGTTGATACAGCTAATTAGGACCCTCACAACTCTGTATGTAAAAAGTGTTTTAATGATGTTCGCTCCTCTGTTTTAAATAACAAGGTTTTTAAAAGACTGTTATAGATTGAAAGAATATGAATAAGGGAACTTGAAAATTAGAAAAAAATGGCACTACATGGATAAAACTAAGAGGATTCCGAATATCTGACAAAAAGTCAAAAACAAGAGTAGCCTGAACATTCTTAAAGACGCACACCAAACTTTCGTAGAATGTCTTTATGCTGAGGTGTAAGAGCGTTTGCGATTTCTTCGTGAATAATGACATCCCTAAGCTCCATCTGGGGATCGATTTTTCTTGTACAGTCCAGACGAAGGTGAAAATACGCAGCCTGAAGTTGTGTCGAAAGTACAAAATTTCCATTTTTGTCCTTGTACCGGCGATGACAGTAATGTTTTAAAATTACATCGTGGGGTTCCGTTTTATATTTATTTTTAAATTCTTTTCCACATCCATAACAACGTTTTAAATTGAAAATGGTGCCTGAGAGAATAACATGAAATGGTTGTCTAATTTGAAGCTGTTTTGCATGTTCTTGGTTAATATTGTTGACCTTGTAAGCTTTTTGTTTCTTTGCTTTTTTTTCTGGGGGGCGATGCAGCCCGGTTACAGGGACATGAACAGATTTATTTTCGATTATTTCTACTCCTTCCGAATCTAACTCATCTGCATATGCTTTTGCACGCTTCATACCAGCTTTATAATCTTTGATCTGTTTTTGATAGGTGTTAAGTCCTTTCCCTCCTTTCGAAACTCCTACATGAAATAATCGAATCTCCGTTGCCTGCCGTATTGCTGATGCAACATCTACTCTTGCAGCTTCTAACAGTGAAATATATGGACCTGAATTACTTGCTATTTTTGCATGTCCAACTTCTGCAAGGTTTGAAGAAGGCGCATTTTCCATTTTAAACGCACGGAAAATATGAGATCTTCGATCATGCCACCACTTGTACCATGCACATAATTCTTTGATATTATTTATCTTAAAGAATGTCTCCATTTGTTCACATGCAGCATTGAACTGGTTTATGGTCTGTGCATGCAACAAAGCATTTGCAAGACATATGAATTCGTCTGATTTTTCTGAAACTTTTCGTGAATGTCGCTGAACGCTTTGCTTATAATGGAACTCACACGAAACAGCTCTTTCTAATGTGTGAACTCCAAAAACGTCCCTTATGCTACACCAGTTTGCATGGTTTTCATCTGCAATAAACCCAAAAGGGTTGAACTTGTAGCCTTTCTTGCCAGATACACCTTGAAGCATTTCATTGAGAAGTTCCCAAAATATTGTAAGATTCTCTGTGTTTTCTTCTTCAACTTCCATTATTGCCAAGGAAACTAGTTTTCGTAAAACTGGATGGTACGTCCATAATGTTAACGTTTTAAATCCGCGACATCGATTGTGTTTTGCATCAATGAAAGCAAATTCATCCACCATGACACCACTCCCATCTCTGTCCATTTCCAGGCAAATATTTGCCATTGCTTGGCTTGATTTAAAAACAAAAGAAGGTTTTCCATTTAATGCTCGGTTATTTACTCGATAAATAAAAAACTTGTCTTTTTCGTCACATTTTTGTTTGTACAAAGCAAGTGCTTCAAAGTTCTGTCCCATTGGGTTAATCTTCATCTTTAATTCCTCACGCGCATTGTACACTTGTTTCATGTCCACAAATTGTTCAGCCACCAGTTCAACATCGTCCCAACTAAAATCATCAACAGCCATTATATCAACCATTTTGCTGTTAACTAACTTATTAGGTTTGACGCCAGGGTGTTTTGCCACTTCATTTTTAATAAGCTCGTTTGAGATCTTCTTTTTCTTTGCCACGCAGGAATGCTCATTTTTGTACATAACTGTCACATTTGTAGAGTTTGCTTCGTACTCCCATATTTTAACTCCCGGACATAAAATGATTTTTGCTGGACTCCCACAGGTGAAGCATACTAAAATCGAAGCAGTTTTTTGAAACTGGACTCTATTTACACATCCGTATTTCTCTTTATAAAGACAATTGTCTGAGTTGCAAACTGGCGAACCTTTGCATTTCGCAACTCGCCTTTTCCCTATCCATCCTGTTCTACAACTATTTACCCACTTTCCCCATGGCCTACCATCCTTTGTTTTCTTCATCATGTCGTCTATTTTGCACTCAATTTTGAATTTCCTGAATCCATTAACATCATAAGGGATAGATGTGACAACCTCTGTTTCACATATTTCCCAATGTATTGGATTTAGTTCCATCTTCCGAAACCGCCCAATTGATTTGCGAGAACTTGTTTTATTTGACGATGAACTATGGTTTTCTTCAAAGGACGATTGTGGTGTTATGGTTTCCCCTGGAATATAATTTGATATACAATAGATTTAGAATTGTATTGGAGTCTTACTTACTTTGATGAATGGATGGATAGCTGTTTACCGAACAGTCTTTGTGTAAGGAAACGACCATTTAACATCAGGGGGGGGGGGGGTGTGGGGGGGGTTATGTTTTTTTCCTAAAAAAAAATATTCTGAATCCCAAATTAATACCTACTTATAGTGTTAAATTTTGAACAAAATAATTTGAATGAAAAACAAAATAAAATTGTATAAAAAAAAATACCCCCCCCCCTTTTTTTTTGAAGTTAAATGGTTGCTCCCTAATATCGAAAGGGAAAACTAGAAATAAAAATAATTTGTCGCTTTCAGAATTTCGCATTCACGTTTTTTGCATCTTTTACGCTTTCGCTTTTTTACTTGGAAATTAATTTATTTACAAGTTCAAAAAATAAATTGACAAGTTCGTGCTGTAAATTTGTATGGTAGCTAATTTTCTCTAAAAAACAACCATAAGTTGTTGTAGACTCAAACTTAACAGAAACATTAATAAAATTAATTAACGAATTGTTCTCTGAATGTTTTTCCACCATAAAATTAAAGAACTGTTTTGTGATAAGAAAGATAAATAAAATACTCCGCAGGACGCAGCTTGATACAACCGCAGAGGTCAAACCCTGAACAGTTGGGGCAAGTATGGACACAACATTCAAGCGTGCTACCGCACTGAATTTGGATTGTGATTAAATATTTGACATATCCTATGTTTCTGACATAGAAAGAATGTTGTCAAAGAACTTTGAAATTTGAAATTAGACATTTACCTATAATGGTCCAATATCCAAAATCTAAATACATGATTCGATTTTACATTAACAACCGAAGTATTAAATTTCCTATGAAATCAAACAAATTTTAATTTTGGACCCTTTGAACATCAATGTGAACCAATTTAATAACGGGGCCCAAAATCTAAAATCTAAATACACGGTTAAATTGATCATATCAAAGTACCAAATTTATCCAATGTTTGTTGTAATTAAACAAAGTTTAACTTTGGACACCGATTAAGACCAACTTGAAACTGGACCTAAAATCAAAAATCTAAATACATGTTAACATTCAGGATACCAATGAGCCCCAAGATTTCAACTATGTTGAAATAAAACTAAGTTTAATTTTTGACCCGTTGGACCTCAATGTGGACCAATTGAAAAACAGGGCCCAAAAATTAAAACACCAAATGCATGGTAACGATCGGCATATCAAAGGACTACAAGAATTCATATTTTGTTGAATCCAACAAACTTTAGTTTTAGACACTTTGGACCTTAATGTGGACTTATTTGAAAGCTGGGCCAAAAATTGAAAAAACTAAATGGACAGCTATATTCAGTATATCATAGAACCATAAGAGTTCAGTTTTTGGCGAAATCAAACTAAGTTTAATTTTGGAACTCAATATAGACAAATTTGAAAACGGGCCCAAAAATAATAAATCCAAATACATGGTTAGATTACGCTTATTTTCATGATTCATAATAGGTCAATGTTGAGTTTTTTCCGGTTTGGTCTGTTTTCAAATACTATTAGGAATAGTTCAATTACGATTCAATTACATTTGGTTTATAGAATGATTGTAAGGAGCTTATTAATCTGTCTGTCGTGTGTCATCTAACTTTGACCCCATTTTCATGGTTAATTAGTCAATGTTAAATTTCTCTAGTTTGGTCGGTGTTTCAGATAATTCAGTGATCAGACAAATTGATCTTTGGTATAGAATGATTGTAAGATATAAATACCTGTCTGTCAGGTATAAACTTACGTTGACCTTATTTTATACTTCTTATGTCAAAGTTCATTTTTTGTGATGCATTCCAGTCTGTGCACCCTTGTTAGATAAAAATAGCCACCAGAACAAATAACAGCACGCATGCTCCCGTTTTTCGCATTCAAAAATACAAAGGTTAACCCAACATTTAAAAACCTTTAAAACACGCAAAAACTCGCATTTATTGTTCAGTGAACCGTGACATTTGTGTCAAATCCGAAATATGTTGTATTTCCTTTAAAGTCACGTCAAAGTTAGCAAGTGAACATAGTTTTAAGTTAATATAGCTACAACTTCATCATTAAAACTTTGACCAAAAACTTAAATATGAAAGTTTAACGAACACACAGAAATACAAACATACAGGTAATGGTTAAAACTATTTTGTTTTTCTGTAATGCATCCAAGAAATAAATCCTTCCATTTTAAAACAACAGCAGCTAACAACGAGCTGTAAAAAAATGAGTCCTCAAAGGAGAAACCACAGTGGCGATCATATTTTGCAAAAATGAAATTTCCGGTCATTTGCAATACTTGTAATTTATTTTTATCTTTAAACTAGATTTAACTTTGATGGTCATCTTAATTTTAATGAAATTGGTTTGCTGAATAAGAATGTGAAAGCAATATTGTGAACGTACTACGATAGGTTATTATACGGTATCAGGTAAACTCATTGCTGAAGGTTTGTATTGTGACCCGTAATTACATACTTCCTTTGTTTTGAAGTATCTTGATGGTCTCATTCTCATAACGATTTCTTAGCTTTAGCTTTTTAAAACATCTGAAAGTTAGGTTTCATTTATTATGTTATAATGATGATTAATCATGCAATCATTATCATATAATGCCTTTATATAATTTGTACTTTATCTGGGTTTTGTGGTAATAAGCATTGTTAACATTTATTTGAGGCAAACTTAAGTTAGAGAACGGAAACGAAAAATTCAGCAATTTTTCCATTTGTAAAGGGGCATAATTTTAGAACGATAAAAGTGACACCACCAAAATTCGAACTTAATCTATGTTTTGTGGTAATTAGCATTGTGTATAAGTTTCATAATATTTGGTTGAGGCAAACTAAAGTAAGAGAACAGAAACGAATATTTCAGCAATTTTTATACGACCGCAAAAAAATTTTTGTGGTCGTATGTTGGTATGACGTTGGCGTCGTCGTCGTCGTGTCGTTGTCGTCGTCGTCCGGCGTCGTCCTGCGTCGTCCGAAGACACATTGGTTTTCGCACTCTAACTTTAGTTTAAGTGAATGGATCTCTATGAAATTTTACCACAAGGTTCAATACCACAAAAGGAAGGTTGGGATTGATTTTGGGGGTTATGGTACCAACAGTAAAGGAATTAGGGGCCAAAAAGGGGCCAAAAATAAGCATTTTTGTAACTTCCAGACATAACTTGTGTGTTAGTGTATGGATCTCTCTGACATTGTACCACAAGGTTCCATATCACAAAAGGAATGCTGGGATTGATTTTGGGGGTAATTGCCTCAAAATTTTAGGAATTAGGGGCCAAAAAATGGGCAAAAAACAAGCATTTTTCTAGTTTCATGACAATAACTTGTGTGTAAGTGTATGGATCTTTCTGAAATTGTACTACAAGGTTCCATATTACAAAGGGAAAGCTGGGTTTGAGTTTTGGGGTAATTGCCCTAAACGTTTAGGAATTTGGGGCCAAAAAGGGGCTAAAAAACACATTTTTCTAGTTTCCAGACATTAACTTGTGTTCAAGTGTATGGATCTCTCTGAAATTGTACTGCAAGGTACCATACCACAAAGGGAAGGCTGGGATTGAGTTTGGGGGTGATAAATCATAAGGAGGTTCAAAAAATTTGGGGGGGGGGGATTTTTTTTTTTCCTTTTTTTTCTTTTTTTTAAATTTTCCATTTTAAGTTGGTTATTTCTGATTTATATTTAAAAGCAAATAATAATGATATGGTAGGAGATACACACCAAACAGGATGTGTAAATTATTATATAATAAGTATTGTGCAATAGCAAGAAATTTTCAATTGCACAGTATTGCGCAATAGCAAGAAATCTTCAATTGCACAGTATTGCGCAATAGCAAGAAATATCCAATAGCACAATATTGCGCAATAGCAAGAAATTGTCAATTGTACAGTATTGCGCAAAAGCAAGAAATATTTAATTGCACAGTATTGTGCAAAAGAAGATACTTCATATAAATTGCTTATTTCTTGACCAATTTCAATGGGGTTTTATTCTTGAATTCTTGGGGTTCTTTAATATGCTGAATCTAACCGTGTATTTAGTTTTTGGATTTTGGGCCCCGTTTTTAAATTGGTCCACATTGAGGTCCAAAGGGTCCAAAATTAAACTTTGTTTGATTTCATCAAAAATTGAATTATTGGGGTTCTTTGATATGCCGAATTCAACCGTGTATTTAGATTCTTAATTTTTGGTTCCGTTTTTCAAATGGGTCTACATTAAGGTCCAAAGGATCCAAAATTAAACTTAGTTTGATTTTTACAAAAATTGAATTCTTAGGGTTCTTTGATATGCTGAATCTAAACATGTATTTAGATTTTTGATTATGGGCCCAGTTTTCAAGTTGGTCCAAATCGGGGTCCAAAATTAAACTTTGTTTGATTTCAACAAAAATTGAATATATGGGGTTCTTTGATATGCTGAATCTAACCATGTATTTAGATTTTTAATTTTTGGGCCCGTTATCAACTTTGTCCACATTGAGGTCAAAAGGGTCCAAAGTTAAACTTTGTTTGATTTCATCAAAAATTGAATTCTTGGGGTTCTTTGATATGCTGAATCTAACCATGTATTTAGATTTTGGATATTGGACCATAATAGGTGAATGTCCAATTTTAAATTTTAAAGTTCTTAGACCACATTCATTATGTGTCAGAAACCTCTGCTGTGTCAAATATTTAATCACAATCCAAATGCAAAGCTGTATCAAGCTTGAATGTTGTGTCCATACTTGCCCCAACTGTTCAGGGTTCGACCTCTGCGGTCGTATCAAGCTGCGCCCTGCGGAACATTTTATTCCATTTGTAAAGGGGCACAACTCTAGAACAGTAAATGTGACGCTACCAAAATTCAAACTTGATCTGTGTTTTGTGGTAAAAAGCATTGTGTATAAGTTTTCTTAACATTTGGTTGAGGCAAACTAAAGTTAGAGAACGGAAACCAATTTTTGGACGTACCGTACGTAAGTACAGACGGACAAGGGTAAAACTAAATGCCCCCTCCGCTACGGCGGGGGCATAATAAACAAAATCAATCAATTGTGAACTGATGTTGTCAAATGTTTCACGAGACAAACCAATCTAACAGCAAAGTTTACGATCGGATTTAGTGATGCTTTTCATTGAATTTCATTTAAATTTTTTGATTATTTCAAAAGCTGATTTGTCGTGTACATGTACACATTACTAGTAGCATATTCATACCTGTTACAATTCTGTTATCATTCTCTTTTGTCGCATTATCTTCACTTTCCTGACCTTGCATATTTGTATGTGTTATGTCCATGCTTTCTTTTTGCATTGAAATTGGTGCTGTAACAATTTTGTTATCTTCTTTTTTCGCATTTTCATCACTGTCCTGGCCTGGTAATTTGCCTGCTTGGAGACTTCGAGATTCCCATTTATGTTGGTATTTGCTGTTTTTATTCACTTTCGCTAATGAGGGTAAATCTAAATCTTCACCGTTTTCTGACTGACAGTAAAAGTGTTTTCTCAAATCTAAAGCAGCTATACTACTGGAAGAATCGCTAGTACTTGAAAGAATGGAAAACGATTCACATGAGCTTCTATCAGAAATATTTGAAATATTTATTTCTGATTCAGAATCGACAGGTTGTGGTGGTAATTTTTTCATCACTGCGAGTTCTTGTAATATCTTTTCTTTATTGCCTGTTCTCTGAATTAACCAGTTGCATAAAGGTCGAATAGTTAGTTGAGGTAATTTTGGTGTTATAATGCCAGCCGACCCTTTACCACCAAGCTGTGTAGAAATGGGATGGGTATCAATGATAGATACATCACCATTTTCTGTTTTACATATAAGCATCGTATATGGTGGTGATGTGTACACTGCACAAAAAGTTTCATGCGGATGATTTCTAATTAAAGTTGTAAGTTTGCTACAGAGTTCCTCACAGGCATCATGCTGATCTTTCATATCTGTGCTTGTTATTTCTATACAAAATTCAGTTGCTTCAACAGCTTTGCAAGATCGAAGAATACCATAAGCTTCATCTACACTATATAATTTATTTTCATTTCTCATGATATTAACATCTTTAGGAAAATTTAATATAGTGTCTTGGGTCACTTCTGACAAATCAATCAATTGATTTTTGTCACTTAAGTCTCCTAATATCTTGTCTGCAATAAGAAGTGACAAAAAAGTACATGCATTCAACGTTTCCGATTGTTCGTTCAAAGCAAAAGTAGAATGACTTTGAGCATATTCAGCGTCTTTTGCTACACTTATGCTTTCCTGACTTATCAAAAGACTCTTTAATTTTACATTGTTTCTGGTTAAAAACAGAAGAGAATCGTCTGCTGTTGGGCGATTGGACATGTTGAACTGTGTGCATTTCAAATACAATTCGTGAATTGCTTCCCAGTGTTCAATTCGCAACGCTTGGTATTTATCCAACTGTAGTGGACTTTTGCTGCTAGCCATGTACATCTTTAGTTCTTCTAAAACATTTACTGGTTTTGCCTTTTCAAGTTCTGAATGAAATGGATATTTTGCATTCGGATTTATCAAATGGTACAATATCATTCCCAGAGACCATATGTCCATCCTTCGTAAATCATCAATTGTTGCATTCATTTGATTATTGCACAATGCTTCTGGTGCCATGTATGCTGGAGATCCCCGAAATAGTTTCTGAGTGCATGTTTGTGTGATGCTTCTGGTTTGGATAAGGGATGAACGCGCCTCTCCAAAATCAGTTAATTTTGCACAAATTGGCTTAAAAGACCACCAGTGTCCAACATCCGCATTAATGTCGTAATGGTTATTTGACACAAGGACGTTGTCTGGTTTTAAATCTCGATGAACAATACCTCTACTGTGGAGGTATTTTATTGCAGTTACTATGTCAACTGCGAGAAAATAAGGGACATGTTCAAAGCCACTGAATTCTGAAACCCTATCACATGCCAACAGGAATTCTTTCAGATTGTAAACTGTCTCATGCTCAACTGCAATTTTGCGAAAGTCGAAGCAAATAAAATCGACTAATATTGCGTTTTCTACTGATGAAAACCCCTTTATATCTAAAAGATTAGGATGTCCTGAAACTGATTTTAAAAGTTTTGCCTCTTTTCTAAATAGTTTGATTTCCGAATCAGTCGCCTCACCTACACACAGTTCTTTTATTACAAAGGACTTTCCATCTTTTTGTCCTTTGAAGACTTTTCCATATGAACCCTTTCCTATCATTACAAGATCAGTGTAGTCTTTCTTGCTGAATGTTGGAAGTCCAAGGCTTGTATCTTCGGCCATGTTGATAGCTTTATTATGTTTCTTTAATACTGGAAGAGGCACCTTGAAGGACGCCATTATAAAATCTGAAAATGGTTAAAAGCGAAAGTATAGTACGACGATATTTATGAACTCTCTGAACGTTAGACAAAGTTCGTTTCATTGAACATGCAGTTTAAGTCAGTTTTTGTTAGCAATATACGCTTGTTATAATTGTAAAGGACAAGGTACGATAAGTACGGCCCTAATTTTCATTTAATTCAATTTGTACAAAATGACTAATTGATTTGTAATAGTCAGTAATTCAAACATTTGTTTGCTGTTGCTAAGCAACATTTGCTATGCTCAATACGGAATGGTTAAGAGTATAATAATGAGTAAGATAGTACAATGGAATGCAACATCACATGGACAAAAAATCTTCAAACAACTACTTAATTCATACTTCAGAGGGGAAAACACAAATTTTTGAATCGTTGCTCGGCAATATTTCTGTTGCTAGGATGCTGTAAAGCATATAGTAAACGAAATCAAAGGGACTGAAGTCCGCCTCCAGGGAATCCGGATCCGTTCGCACCCTTTTTAATGGTTTTCTGTTTAATAATTTTATAATCATGTTTTGGTTAGTTTTTTGCTACTAAATATTTTTTTTTCATTGTTTCGAAATAAAGTGACATTCTGAAAACGTTTTTTGTGTTGAATAAATTTTTTTATCATGTTTTGGTTTGAGTATTGCTATAAATATATTGTTTCAAAATAAATTGACATTCTGAAAACGTTTTTGTGTTGAATAAATCTTAAATCATGTTTTGGTTAGTGTATTGCTTTAATATTTTATTTGTAACAACAACAACTATGAATAACAGGCCAGGGCACAAAGCACATATTTTTTTAGTTAGGGAATAACAACTTCATAGTAATATTCAGACATCTTATATATCATACTTGTCCAAACACAGTCATGCTTCACTGATTCCCTATATAATCAACCATTTTTTTTTCCACAAAAGGGGGACCAGGATCCGCCTATGATCATGATTTTCATACACTTAACAATAATAACCAGTGTAAATATCAATTAACAATAATCATACATAATCATCATTTAATAATTAACATTTCATATAATTATTGATCAAATTAATAAAAAAATCTCCAATATTTCATATAATTATTGATCATTTTTTATTCAGTAAAATATAAATATTATGGTATATACATATTAAAAAATATCTAATAATTCAACTGGAATTTGAATAAAAATAGGGTGCGAACGGACCTATGGGGCGAATATGTAAAAAATATGACACATTACATCTTATATAAGTCTCATACGTCCAAAACGCTTTTATAGATTTACCTTCATCAGGAACGCTCAAAGCCAAATATTTAAAAGCCGTTGATTTATAAGAACCGAAACAATTGAAGAGCTATAATACCAAAAAATAACCTAATAAAATAGGGTTAAAGAACGGAAACCGACTTTTGGACGTACGGACGGAGGGACGTACAGACGGACAAGGGTAAAACTTTATGCCCCATCCGCTATGGCGGGGGCATAATTAAAACCATTGCTAGACAACCTTCCTTTCACTGGAGCACAATAAAATCGCTGTTTTTTTTTTCAAGTTTCAAGTTTCTATACTTAGAACACTTATGATATTAATATAAACTTATTTAGAGAGGGGGCCAAAACTGACGCCCCTTATCATACATTGTCCTTTAAGAAGGATTCTTTGGGTCGGATGTAATTTTTGTATAAATATAATGTGTAGCCTATCACCATGAACTTCACAAGACACTGACATTTGACATCATGGTCAAACTACTGTATTTGTTTTCATTTCCGTATCCGGAATATAGCTTTTCATTCTTTTGATATTTGGCGCTTGTTTGGGACACCTCAAGACGATGTGTCACGTATATTGTAAGGTGACCTCTGACCTTAAACTTTTACCTTAAAAGTATTCAAAACTTAAGCGAAAATTAAAATTTTTGTTTGTAAAAATAAAAGCAGTAGTGGACCTATATCTTCAAGCAGGAAGGCGGGGTGTGGGTATGGAATTTTTGTACGGTCGGACAGATTATTGCCCCACACCATCTTTATTTAATTATTTTTATCATATGTTTGTGCTTGTTATATATATGCCTATGCTTTGTTTAAAGAAGTTGACAATGTTGAGACTCAGCATATACATGTAAGGTTAATGACAACTACTGCATAATTATGCAGAGGGGAGCGTTTCTAAAAAAATTAACATATTTTGTGCAAACAGTAATTTCATGGGAAGGGGGGGGGGGTGCCCTGTAGAAATTAAATTTTAAGGTCATAAAAGAAATATATTCACAGAAACAAAAATATTTATATATAAGCTCATTTGAAATGGATTCGATAGTTTCTGTAGACTTTTCTTTGGACACGCCACTTTCAGCACTTTTGTGGCAGTCAGTGTGTATTGGTGGAGGATGCCGGAGCGCCTGATGACAACCACTAACCATCGGTAGTTAAACTGACAAGTACTTTCTAATTAGTTGCGGTATTGAGCAGAGGCTAAACTATAATTATCCATGTATCTCCTCTACGACCAGTCCAAGGTTATAGAAAAACATTTAAAAAAAACTCATTCCCTACAACGCAATTATTACCTCTTAATTTAATCTTTTGTCACCTGATAGCCTTGTTATTAAACGGATTAACCGTGGGCCAATTTGATTTTGTATATAACCAGAGGTGGATTAGGGTGGCTGGGTGCCTTGCACCATATAGAGAAAATTTTAAAAATTTATCTGAATTTTTTTTCCAAAATTTGGTCCGGCCCTCCCTTTTAAAGCCTAAAAAAGGAAGCTGGTTCCCCTTTTTCTGAGATTCTGGATCCGCCTTTAATAACCAGAGACTACTAATACACATATGATAGTAGTCTGAGATATAACAGAGCCTTATGACAGCATTACAGCATGCCATCCTACTACTAAGCTAAATTGATGAAAATAAAGAATATGTCTGAGGATAGTTCTTAGCATTGTGTGTGAGATCCATAGAATTTGGATGAAGCAAATTTAAGTGAAAGTGAGAAACTGAAAAAAAGTGCAATGTTTAGTTATAAAGGGGCATAACTATAGAATGGTGAATTGCTAACTAGGCAAATTCGAACTTGTCTGCGTGTTTATGTCCTTGGCATTATGTATGAGTTTCATTTACTAGTATTTGAAAGAGGCAAACTTAAGATAGAGTGCGGGAAAAAATGCAATTTTCCAAGTTAAAAAGGGGTATAACTTTAGAATGGTAAGTTACTCATTGCCCATATTCGATCTTTGTCTGTGTGTTTTGGTTTTAAGCAGTGTGTAGTTACTATTGCCAAACAGTCGATTGTCGATTTAAATTGTATATATACGAGTAATTGAATAACATAAATGGAAATGGTTCTATTTTGGCAAAGGTCTTAAAATATTACACGAACTCTTAAAAACATTGATAAAAATGTCGTTTTTAAGAAATTTGCTATTTTTAACCATTTTATTTGGGGAAAACCAGAACACACGAATTGATTCATTGATATTTTTGTAAATATGTGAAACTTTACCTTGAAGTTTTACAGTTTGTGACCTTTGCATCACAACAACAAAAAACTATAGACTGAAGTACCTAAGTCATTAAATAGTAGAAAAACGCAAAAATCTACCCCTAATTTAGCCAATTTGAAAAGAAGACCGTCTCGTCAAATAGTCTAAGAGTTAAATGCTCCTTTTAAGTAAACAAAACAAGCATATATCTTTTTATTATGTTTATGCAAATGTTTGTCAATCAAAGTTTTCAATATAAACAAACTGTCAGATGTCCTATAGTTTTCCCTGAAACCAAACTGAGATGCAGAAAATTTATTTATCATAAACATTTTTAGTCTATTATTCAGGATACTACTAAATATTTTAGACAGAAATACCTCTGTAGTTGCCAGGATGACATATATCTCCAGATTGTAATATTAATATAATAAAAGATGAATTCCAGTGTTTTGGATAATAACCAGGTTTTAAAATTAGATCTAAAAGTTTAACATCAGATTTTAATGTAACTGGGCTACTGTATTTAATGACTTCGTATACTATATTATCAGGCCCGGAGGCTTTACCTTTCATGAGTTTTTGATAAGACTTCTTTAATTTCAGAGCATGTGATTGGTTTATCAGTTTCTAAAGTTACAGACATGTCTTTCTCTAAAATCTTTAATTCTTCCTGTATCTTATTTCTAAAGTTAATACCACTGCCAATGCACATGCCCTGGTTCTGCAAATGGAACATCGTATCATGGTAATTTAATAAAGGTTCTCCAGACTCCTCATCGTTACTTTTTTTGATTGAAGGAGTTAAGAATTTTTTGAGGATTATTTTCTAAAATATTGGAAATTTTTGGACAATTTTTCAAAAAGATTTTTATTGTACTCATATTTTTTTCTTTTTTATCAATTTTCTAAATGACTTAAGTAACTGAAAATATGTTTGTTTGAGGTAAAGATTAAATGGGTTTCGTCTTAAATCTTGCCCTATCCTAACAATAATACTTTTATGCTCTTTTACTGAATCATCTGACCAATTTTTCCTCTTATATTTTTTATTTTTTAAATTTTTCACTAATTTCTTTAATTTACAAGATTTTTCTGTAAATTTTGATAAAATATCTAATAAATCAGTATAAGCTTCATCTATTCCTTGTTGGCAGAGAGAAAATGGTTTAAATTCAAAATCAATAATATTATTCCTTATTAAGCTGTGGTCACACCTTACCGGATAGTTCGAGTGGACGACGAACGGATGAAAAAAAAAAGTTTTCCGTTGACAAAATTTTTATCCGTTGGGAGTCTGTTGATGTACTGACCAAATAAAACGGACGCCTACGAATGCCTAACGGACACACACAGGATATGCAACGTACGAGAAACGGAAACGTACCGGACAGGACGGATGCCAAACGTAAATCTTACGGACGAGTATTGCATAAAACGGACACCTAACGGAAGCATACCGGATAAAACGGATGAACAAGATAAGCAAAAAATAATAAGGCGACAATAATAATACA